CAAGGTTCCACCAGGGTTGGGGTGGCAGCAGCGGCGTCCCCGGGGCAGGGGTGGGGGTGCCCAGCGTGGAGGGGAGGGTGCTGAGCGCTGTTGTGCCCCAGCCCAAGCCCACCAAGGGCCGGATGCGGATCCACTGCCTGGAGAACGTGGACAAGGCGCTGCAGTTCCTGAAGGAGCAGCGGGTGCACCTGGAGAACATGGGCTCCCACGACATCGTGGACGGCAACCACCGCCTCGTCCTCGGCCTCATCTGGACCATCATCCTCCGCTTCCAGGTGGGACCGGGTGGATGGGGGGCACCCCTCAGCTCAGCACCCAATGGCTCATTCCCGAGCGGGAGCTCTCCTCCGTGGATGTCCTCCCTCAACCCCGGGATGTCCTTCTGCCCCCAGATCCAGGACATCATCATGCAGGAAGGCCGGGAGACACGCTCTGCCAGGGATGCACTGCTGCTCTGGTGCCAGATGAAGACGGCAGGGTAGGTGGTGGGACCCGCACCCCATGGCACCAGGGTCAGGGGGTGCCCAGAGGGTGACAGTGATGCCCTGTCCCCATCACAGGTATCCCCACGTGAACGTCACCAACTTCACCTCGAGCTGGAAGGACGGGCTGGCTTTCAACGCCCTCATCCACAGGCACAGGTAGGCAGCACTACGGCGGGCACCGGGACGTGCTGGGGCGGCGGTGGCAACCGGGGGATGTCCCACGGCTGTGCCACCACCATCCCACACCCTCTGTCCCCAGGCCCGAGCTGGTTGACTTCCAAAACCTGACCAAATCCAATGCCCGGCACAACCTGGAGCATGCGTTCAGGGTGGCAGAGCGGCACCTGGGCATCACCCCGCTCCTTGACCCTGAAGGTGAGGCTGCTGCTGCCGACCCTCCTGCCTCAGTTTCCCCATTGTGCCCTGGGATGCACCCAGGCCCCATGGAGGGACAGAGAGCTTTCCACCCCGTGGAAGTGGGTCTGGGTGGGAGCAAGAGGGGACCTCATGAAGCCATGGTGGCCCATTGCCACTGGGGCAATGCAGAGGCTGGGTCAGGACTGACAAGTCTCGCTCGCACCGGGCAGATGTGTTCACAGAGAACCCCGACGAGAAGTCCATCATCACCTACGTGGTGGCCTTCTACCACTACTTCTCCAAGATGAAGGTGCTTGAGGTGGAAGGCAGGCGTCTGGGCAAGGTAGGGGACGGCGTTGGGGCAGGGGGGTTCTGCTGGGGTGCCGGTACCCAGTGCTCACCGCTGGCCCTGCCACAGGTCATCGAGCACGCCAAGGAGACGGAGCGGATGATCGAGGGCTACGGGGGGCTGGCCTCCAACCTGCTCACCTGGATCGAGCAGACCATCGCCTTCCTCAACAGCCACAGCTTCGCCAACTCGCTGGCCGGGGTGCAGCACCAGCTGCAAGCCTTCAGCACCTACCGCACCGTGGAGAAGCCCCCCAAGTAAGCACCTCCGAGCCCCCTGTGCCCGCACAGTGGTGGTGAGCACCTACGGGTGCCCTGGGCTGAGCTCTCTCTGGGGCAGGTTTCAGGAGAAGGGCAACCTGGAGGTGCTCCTCTTCACCATCCAGTCACGGATGCGAGCCAACAACCAGCGTGTCTACACCCCACACGAGGGGCGCCTGGTCTCTGACATCAACCGGGTACGGGGCCCATCCCGGCAGCCTGGCCATGTGTCGTGCTGTGCCACGGGGACACGCGGCTGCTCCCGCGGCACCCTGCAATCTGGGGACAGCTCTTCCCCCAGTGTCCTTGGGGGCTTTACTGTCCCAGGGCAGGTTGGGCCCATCTCCCGGGGCAGGTTGGGTCCATCCCAGGGTAGTTCAGGTCCTAGGGAAGGTTGGGTCCATCTCAAGGCAAATTGGGTCTGCTCTAGAGCAAGTTGGGTCCATCTCCCTGGGCAGGTTGGTTCCATCCCAGGGCAGTTCAGGTCCATCCTGGGAAGGGTTCTAGGGCAGGTTGGGTCCATCTCCCTGGGCAGGTTGGTTCCATCCCAGGGTAGTTCAGGTCCTAGGAAAGGTTGGGTCCATCTCCTGGGGCAGTTTGGGTCCATCTCAAGGCAAATTGGGTCTGCTCTAGAGCAAGTTGGATCCATCTCCTGGGGGCAGTTCAGGTCCATCCTGGGAAGGGTTCTAGGGCAGGTTGGGTCCATCTCCCGCAGCAGTTCAGATTCATCCTGGGACACATCGAGTCCATCCTGGGGCAGGTCGGGTCCATCCCAGGGCAGGCTGGCTTCCTCCAGCCACCCTCCCACAGCCATGGGGCACATTGGGGTTCACCAGCAGAACAAGATGCAGGTGGGTGGAGGGGCATGGGTGCCACTCCCATCCGGCGCCACTGCCTTCCCCCAGGCCTGGGAGCAGCTGGAGAAAGCGGAGCATGAGCGGGAGCTGGCACTGCGCACCGAGCTCATCCGGCAGGAGAAGCTGGAGCAGTTGGCGCGGCGCTTTGACCGCAAAGCGGCCATGCGGGAGGCCTGGCTGAGCGAAAATCAGCGTCTGGTGGCCCAGGTGAGACTGGGGACACCTACCCCAGGGACCGGGGCACCCCACCGGAGCCTCACCATGGGCTTTGTGCTGGGGCAGGACAACTTTGGCCAGGACCTGCCGGCAGTGGAGGCGGCCAAGAAGAAGCACGAAGCCATCGAGACAGACACGGCTGCCTACAAGGAACGGGTGCAGGCCATCGAGGCGGTGGCGAAGGAGCTGGAGGTGGAGGGCTACCACGACATCCAGCGCATCAACAGGCGCAAGGACAACATCCTGCGGCTCTGGGAGGAGCTCCTGGAGCTGCTGGCTGCCCGGCGTCAGCGCCTGGAGATGAACCTCACCCTGCAGCACCTCTTCCAAGAGATGCTCCACAGCATCGACTGGATGGATGAGGTCCAGGTGAGCTGCGGGCATTGGGTGCCACCATGGGTGGGGTGCCTTGCTCCCACCGGGCAGGGCGTTGGTGGGACCCCCCTGGGGAGGCAGGTGAGATGCTGGCATGTTGATGGTGGCTTTTGGGTGGTTCCATCTGCTGGAGCCGGTGGTGGGTGACGGCCAGGGCTCTCCCACAGGTACAGCTGACATCGCCCGAATCCGGGAAGCACCTTCTGGAGGCAGAGGAGCTGCTGCAGACCCACCGGCTGCTGGAGGGTGACATGGCCCTGCAGGCAGACAAGACACGGGCC